TGAGTTTTGGAGTTTGAAACCCCTGATCTAAGTCTTTACCTTTTAGTTTAGTTTTCTCTTAGCTCTCATTAGTTTTCTTCCATATTAAAAGGTTAATTTGTTCAATTTTGGCTCCCTGTGTTTTGGAGTTTGACACCCCTGGTTTAAGGTCTTTTAGTTTTCTCTCTCAGCTCTCAGAACCTGCCCCCCCCCACTGCTTCCTGTTGTGGTCTTTAGGCTCACACTCGTGTGTCTTCTAAAGCTTCGAGGTGGTGCGTGAGACTCATTTCTGCTGTTTGAAGGTTTCAGACGGAGCACATACGGGTGCAGGGCAGGAAGAGAGAGAGAGAGACCTGCAGGGGGGCGAGCGAGCCACAGCAAAGCCTCTCTCCAGTTCCAGGAAAAGGCAGATTTCAATCCGAGCCTCACGTGTTTGTCGAACTGAAACAGGCGGTTTGGGGGTTCAAATCCCAGCTGAGTTAGCGGGTTCTGGCCTGGCTCCTCCCCGTTTAATGTCGGCCATTTAATTCAAAATGGCCGATTTTGATGTAGGAGGAGGGGGAGGGGGGCTTACCAATCGGCTTTATTCGGATTAGAAAATCTGAGCAAAGATGGAGAATCTCCATTTGATCTATAGGAGCCTCGGCTGGATGTCCGACTCCTCCCACATCCAGGTCGGCCATTTTGATTAGGTCATGTGACTAGCAGCTTTCTGAGGTGGAAACGAAACTTTACTGTCTACACGAAATCAGAAGATAAACGATGTTCTGAACCTGACCCTAACCCTAACCCAGATATTAACCCTGACCCTAACCCTAACCCTAACCCTGACCCTAACCTTAACCCTAACCCTAACTCTAACCCTGACCCTGACCCTGACCCTGACCCTAACCCTGAACCTGACCCTAACCCTAACCCTAACCTTGACCCTAACCCTAACCCTAACCCTTCATAATTGTTAGAAATAAATATTTTTTGGTTAAACTTGTTTGGACTTATTGTCCAAACCTATTTAACATCCACTATTTTAACATAATATTATGGATAGAGTTTAATTCAGTGTTTGCAAGATTCATTTCACT